TATTTTCCTTAAATCTCTTCACTTCCATTGCAATAAATTCCTTGTCTTTGAGTGAATAGCGTCTAGATTTTACGGCTATAGGTTTGCAGTCAGAGGTTAGATTTGAGAAGAGAGATGGATACTGGACTTTTGCAGTTGCTAATCCACATATTTGCAGCGCTGGTTTGATACCACACCGAACGGAATTGTAAGGTGAGAATGTCGGTTAAGGAAATTGTGCCCTAGAACTACTTCACAGCAGAGGTTCCTCATTACCAGCAACTTGATTTTAGAATAGAAATTTTCTTTTAGCCTGAGGTTAACCATGCAGAATCCGATTACACAGCAGGATAAGGACGAAGTGGCCATCGATATTTGATTAGAACAGGAAAAAGATTTTCCATTTGTTTGTTTCCACGATATGTGCATTGATAAAATTTTCAGAACTCCCGTATCAATAAGAGCATGGAGATTTAGTCCGTTCATTCTGGCCGGCACAATTGTTTTAGAGAGGCATTTGGGAGAGACAGTCGATATGGTAGATAGAGATAGGGTGGCGGCTAAACAGGTTTTTCTTTAAAGGGCCGACCGACAAACCTTTAAAAAATGTCCCTGCTTGCCACATCCATGACATCTACTGTTTCGAGCCGGGCAGGATGAACGAGCGTGTTCTGAAAGCCACATAAGTAGCACTTAATCTCAGCTGAAGCGATAGTAACGGGTTGTTCAATAGTATTTGAAGAATCCTTATCCTGGGGGTCACAATGTTGTGAATTTGAGATGGGAATTTGTTGGGAATGAGAATGGGCAGGAATAGTAGCCCCTGAAAAATCAGGTTGCGAATAGAGATCTGATTGTTTTCTGGGCCATGTCCAACATAAGGGATAGTTCGTAGGCGGTAGCCAGATCCAAGTCCTTGTTTTCAAGCATCCTTTGTCTGATTTGGTTAGACCGTACTCCCACTATGAAGGCATCTCTTATTGAGATATCCCTGGCTTGGCTTGCTGTCAGGGCAGTAAAATCACAGTCGCGACTTAATATTTTCAGGTTTTGAAGATACAGCTCTAGACTTTCTTCAGTCTCTTGACGCCGAGTAGCAAGTAAGTATCTTGCAAAAATGGAGTTTTTCTTCTTAATGAACATATCATCCAGAGTGCTTATAGCGTAATTTTTTGACACCCGGACAAACACTTATAAATGGGAGTGGAAACATGGTGTAATAAGAGGTTAATTTCTGTGAGCCAGTCAATGCCGACGTAGAAGAAGACTGCAGCTCGAAAATAAATCCCTCGAACATATCCCTCCAATGTTGCCATTTGTCACTAGAGTCAGGGTCTGATGTCTCGAGTTCCAGGCGGTCAGGCTTGAGGTATCGTTCCATTATTTTAAGTTGAATAAATTGTAATGAATAACCTGAAAGCAAATAAACTTAGGAAAGCTTTATTCAACTTAATACAGCTACCAAAAGAAAAGAATTAAGCTAGCTTATTTATAAGCATTTCTGGAGTCTGTCCACCAAACAGGGGGAGCAGGTTGTGGGAATTACTTACAACAAAAATCATAGGTGGCAGAACATAAAAAAATATAGTAGGTAGGTAATGGCTGTTAAAATTTGGTGTTAAAATGTGGGTGGTGGGCCTACTCATTCGAGGAGTGGTGTTGCTGATAATGGGTTACCTTGTGGAAATTATACTCTCTGAGTAAAATCAAATCTCTGTTTAGACCCTCTATGTGGGAATAAACTGGAAAATTAATTTTAGAACCAATAAAAGAAATATCTTAACATCCATGTGTTTTGTTAGCATCATTATATATTTCTCAAAGTATATTACAATGTATAAAAGTTTTTTTTTTTTTTTTTTTTTTTTTTCCTACAGGGGATATGTTTTATATAATATGCATAGCTTCATCAATAAATATACAATCTAATGAGGCAGGGAAAATGCATTTTTTTCTTTAGAGCCTTTGAAATTTTGGTTAAAATTTGTTTTTCTGGTATCAACATGTTGCCATAAATTAGTAGGAGAAATCTGAGTATCTTTTTGTAGTAAAAAAAACACATAAGAAAATTCTTTCAAAAATCAGATAATTGTCAGTTTTTAATGAAACTTTCAGGACTTATTCACAAACGAATGAAATTATTTCTGAAATGTTTTTTTTAGAAAATCTTGCTCAATTTTTTTTTTTTTTTTTTTTTACATCTTTTACCTTCTTCATTTAATTTATAAAATTTTAAAGAGAATTTAAATAGTCAATTTATTTTTGACCAGTTAGACAAAATCTGCTCGAAATAATAAATGCAATAAAATTAAGAATTTTATTAGGAATGCTTTTATTAGCTTTTATGAATGAGATATGTTATGTATACAACTAGCTTAAGAAAACTTTATTTCAATAAATAATGAATTTTTACAAGAATTGTTTTAATTTTTTGCAAATTTTAATTATAAAGTTTTAAATTTCAAAATTCCATATTAATTTGTAGTGGTTAGGTGATATTCTTAAGTAAAAAAAAATAATTATTTTTACTAATCATGAATGGAAAAGTTTACTACACTGCAACACCCACCGCTACTCCCAACCAGAATTTCAAAAAGAATTTTTAATTTTTTCGTATATAACCATGGTGATTTTTGTAAATATGGATGTCTATATAGAACATTATCAAAAAATAAAAGTGCTAACTATAGTAAATTTAAAATTTGTTGGTAATTTTCTAACATTTCCTCAAGTGTTTTCATAGATGAGACAAGTAAGCCAAAGTATATAAAATTCAATAAAATTATTAAATTAAATTATTTAAAATTTTTAATATTACTGGGTAGTTAAAAAAAAAAAAAAAAAAAATTATATAACTGTGTTTGTTATATTTGCCATGTAAATTTATTACAATTATCTGCCCCATAGTTAAATTTCCAAAACATTAGGCTATTTATAAATGTATCAAGACCTCATAATAATAACAACCACTTTTGTGTTATAAAATGATTTTCTGTGATATTTTAAACTAAAAGTAATATTTGTTTCGAATCGGATTAATTAAACTGTAAATCTTTTTTCTTTTTTTTTTTTTTTTTTTCAAATAATGTTTCAGAAAAGTATATTTTATCAATTTATATTCAGTTTGAAATACAGCAAAATATTTTGCTTATTGGACATATTTAATCAATTAGTTTAGAACTAAAATAAAAGCTTCAAGAAAGAGTTTTCATTTTTTTTTTAAATGCATTTTAAACCTTACGTATCTCTTCTTTGACGGTACCTATATAAAAGGTGCAGCATAAATACCTTCTCCATATACACCCCCAGAAGTACCACCCAGAAATTGAAAAATTAAGTGATTTAAAGTTTAATTAATCTTATCTAAAACAAATATTACTTACTTTTAGTTTAAAATATCACAGAAAATCATTTTATAACACGGAGGTGGGTGTTTTTATGAAGTATTGGTACATCTATCAATAGCCTAATGTTTGAGAAATTTAGCTCAGGAGCAGATAATTGTAATGGTTTTGATTTAAATTAAAAGTGTGCTTGTCACTTTGTAATTTGCTAAACATTCTATTGACAACATTTATATTGCCAGTATCATTGTAATCCAGCTCTTTAGCTGAAAAAAACATGTTTAGTATTAAAAAAAAAAAAACTGAAAAACTTGAAGAATTCTATTGTTTTGCTTTTCATTTCTCTAATCCAATAAGATTTTCTATACTATTGTTCTCCTCTCTTTGACTAAACCATTTTAAGTATGTATGCGTGTGTTAATGAAAAGGAAATTTAACAAGAGATCCAAAAGATGTTAATTAAACTTTCTTTTCTTTTTTTTCCTTCATTAAAGATATAAAGTGTGAACTTGTCGATAGAAAATAATAGATAGAACATTACAACTACATATGTATGCATTTTTGTCTTTTAAATAAGAATTTCTTATATCCAGTGCACTGCTCTTACCACTGAGCTACCAAAAAATAAAACTGGAATTAATAACTAGAGGCAAAAAAGAGCTAATCAATAGATGGAGCTTTGATACTAATTGAATTTCACTCTTGAAGGAATCTTGTAAGAGAAAAGCCTGGAGCAATAAAGGTTGCATAATGTAGTCTGAGATGTTTCAATTTTGAGGAAATGCTTTAAATAACATGATTGAATTTAGGTTGAAATAATTGGCTCATAATTCAAGATTTTATGCATAAAATATTACCATTGTGATAAACTGGACACTAGATCTTTGTGCTTGATGCTTTTATAATTACTGTTGATTTTAAAACTCAAACCTTTTTATATATTATAATTCTTGCAGTCCATGTTGCTATCATAGTGTGTACACACACACACACACACACACACACACACACACACACACATACACATATATATATAAGAAAAATATACTGAAAAAACAAACAAAAATCCTAATATGCGATTATGCATTAAAACAGCATAATCGCATATTAGGATTTTTGTTTGTTTTTTCAGTATATTTTTCTTCATACTGTCGGATCTATATCCATATATTTGCTTACATATATATATGGGCCATCTATTTCAAATGTGAATTATCCACTATGACAATGTTTGAAGTAATAAAGATGTCGGATTAAAAATAAATCTAATTAATTCTTAATTTTTTTTAGAAATTTCTCTGTTTACATTTCAAATTTGAAACTGAGCTGATATAAAGCTTTCAAGAGAAACTAATCTGGGTGAAGGGGATGTGTTTTCCTTAAAAAGAGTAAATATAACCTTGCTTATTGCAACGTCTCTGTGGTCAAGCAGCAAAGCACACAATATTATGATATATACACATATAAATGTATGTGTGTATATATATATATATATATATATATATAACAAAAAACAACAACATGCATTTGCACTTAATTTAAAAGCTGTTATGTATATATAACAGCTTATTAGTGACCAGTATGTAAATGTTATGGATTTTTATTTTGATGATATCTTTTTTTTTCTTTGTCAGTATATATAATCTGTTATTTAAAAACTGTATTTCTATTTTTCAGTGGAAAATGAGTTCCTGTTTAATGTTCAGGACACAAAAATTGAAATTGGAAAGAATGAATCCATTATCCTGAAGACAACGTAAGAATTTTATTTTTTGCAGTGCTTACCAGCACTTTTTAGTATGCAACCAAATTATACAATCAAATAAATGGTCTACCATTAAGCCCTCTTTGTCAGATAGGTAAAAGTTTAAAATTGAAACTTATCCAAATAAAAAGTTTAACAAGACTTCCTTCCTACTACTATTAAATGGTCAGTGAAATCAATTTGTCAACCATTATGGTGTGACATTCATTCAGGAGAGTTGCTTTTGTAATTCATGTAGAACAAACACATCTGTTGAATAGCCAAGGGAGGAAATGTTTGCTGGATTGAGATATATACACACACTTTAGATCAAATACTAGAGGTAATTTAAAGATTTCCTATGGATATGTAGTGTTTTTGATATGATCCTTATTTTTAAATGTAAAGACATTACATGTAGCCATGTTTTTGATATGATCCTTATTTTTAAATGTAAAGACATTACATGTAGCCATTTCAAATGTAAAAAGGTCTTTTCAGTTTACAGTTGAAATGGCTTGATGTAAATGTCAGTTTGTCTCTTGCAATTCTCACTTATGGAACTCTCTTCTAGCGTCCCAGTCAAATTTGATCTTCATAAATTTAAATGCAATGTCAATCTTTATCTTCTGTCTTCTTAATTCCTGTTCTTTCATTGTTCTTTTCTTTAATGTTTTACTTTTTCAAATATTCTCTCACACTCAGTAACCCCTTGCATCTTAGTGGTTTTATTGCTTTACTCAGGGTGAAATGATTAAAATAAAATAACCTGTTTATTGGACTATCACAGTAATAAATGAATAGGTAGTAATCTACCCATTACATAAGTATGATTTATATTTATTTTCTTTTGTAGAAAAAAAACGAAAAACAATACAAATATAGCAAAAGTGATCCCAATATGTGTTAGAAGAAATAATTATCATAAAATATAATTTACTGAGTTATATGGGAAAGTTTTTGGTGAATATAGTTAAAAAGTATCCTTAGGTTTTTTTGTTTTTTTTTCTCTTTTTTTTGTCTTTGTCATTTTCTTTATTTTTTCTATTTTTTTAGGTTTTTTGTTTTTCTTTTGTGTTGCTTGTTTTTTATCTTTTCCGTTTTTTTTTTTTTTTTGGGCTTTTGCTTTTCATATTTTTTTTGGTCATTTGCTTTTCGTTTTTTTTTTTTTTTTTGTCATTATTTGCTTTTCTTTTTTTCTTTTTTTTTTGTCATTATTTGCTTTGCTTTTTTTTTGTCATTATTTGCTTTTCTTTTTTTTCTTTTTTTGTCATTTGCTTTTCAATTATCAGTAAGTCTATTCCGTATAAATATGAATGATTAAAGATAATAATTTTACATTTATTGATATTTTTAAATTTTTCAGAAAGCCTTTATCTCAAGCTGTTCATATTTCTTTCAACTATCAAATTGGTAAAGAAATTAAAAAACATTTTTCTGATAATCTGATTGATGAATTAGAAAATGTGACATTCTTCCCAACAAATGGCACATCCCATACTACTCTGTATGTTCATGCTAAATCAGCAGGCCATCTTATCATTGGAGTAAACAATGTTTCTAATTTCCAGTAAGTATTCTTATTTATACAAAAAAAAACTCTCTCCTAATTAATTTCTAAAATCATTGAGTTAAAAATAATTTTCATCATGTAAAGATAATATAAAAGTGTATGAAGAATTTATATAATTTAAGAAACATGTTCTCTTAATGATAATTCTCTTCATAAGAGAGCATGTGTCTTCAATTGGGCTGCATTAAAAAGCTGTCTAGTTTTGAGATTGAATGAATTGCCAGGTCACTCTGAAAAAAGACTTACTATCTTTATTATCAAGATTGAATTAGTTATATAGGCCCACAACTGTCTGTAATAATGCAATATATTTAATTCAATAATGAGTTTACTGAAATAGCAGAGTTGTTTTTTTATTCACTTTGAAAAGTTATGCAAAACTTGACAGTGAGTCAGATTGAAAGACCATCTTGCAGACTATTAATTTAACTTACAACCAATTAAGACATGCATACTATCTTAACTGCTAACTTGAAATTATCTTGTAAAATTTTTCTATGAATTGGACTTATATTTTATTTTTTATTCTTTTTCAGAACAAAAAATGCCTTTGTCCGTGTTACCATTGAACATAGTGCAATTCTGAACATCATCACCTCTGTTATTGGCTGGTTTTACTTTGTGGCATGGTCTGTCTCTTTTTATCCACAGGTCTTCCTCAATTATGCTCGTAAAAGGTGAATTTATACCTTAATCTTTATTTTGAAATTTCTAAAAGCTTCCTGGAAATATTTTAAGGAATTAGTCCAGAACAATCTTGAAATTAAAAACAAGAAAATCCTGCATTTTTATGACTTACAAAAAGTTCTACTTTAAAGTATAAAATGTTTAGCATTCTTAAATTTCTTTCTTAATGTATGATAAACCAAAAAACTTAAAAATTAACTAAGATGAAAATTTTAATGGTTTTCTATTTAAATGGTATTCTTCAATAAGCCAAAGAGAAAATGTGAATATTAATTTAGTAAAAGTAATAATTTTCAAAAAATGTATTTAACAAAACCTGTCTATAAATTTAAAAATATGTATTAGGTATCTGAAAATCTTGTTTTCGTGCTAAAAGAATGATTATGGAACCAATTATTTATTTATATTATTACTATAAACATTATAGCTAGTGGATACATGTGTCTTAATAGATATCCCTGTATGTTTTTTTTCTTAAAGTGAAATTAAAGTCTACTGACCTAGAGATTGAAAGAACTAATAAAGAAAATGTACCTCCTGACAGGAATATAACCTATATTCTCTCTTTAATCAGGAAAACCAGTTTCAAGTTAAAATTTTCCCATTTAAAGAGATTACAGGTTTTATTTTTGTTGGAAATACATGTTCAGTATTTTTTTCTTCAGATTATTTACATTGCTTAAAAACCTACTATACTAAAGTTAAGCAAATTTAGGTGTGTGTTTAAATTGAAATTTTTTATTTTTGTCACTTTGATCTTTTATTTATCTATATATGTTATAACAAAATTTAATTTTTATTTATATATATTTTATATATATATATATATATATATATATATATATGTGAAAAGTGAATATAAATATAAATAAATATATATATATGTATAATTATTTATATATTATATGCGTAAATTTATTATTAAAGCAAATATATCAGAGATAGAGCTAACATATTTGGTTGGATAGATGTGAGTTTGTGACCCTGGGTTTCACGCTTTTAGCGATCGTCAGACAAACTGATTAATGTTTTAAAAATTTGGGTTTATGTAGATTGCGTGTATTGGTGTTATTGTGGAAGTGGTGGGGAAATTTTTCGTCGTTTTGTCATTCATCGTACTAACGCAAACATCGATGTATGCAGACACATATACATATACATACTTGGTCGTCCGTCGGGACTCATACATATATAAAAATATGTGTAGACAGTTTCGGCTATGACACATGTATGTATACGGGTGGTGTTATGTCTATACATACGCATTTGTATGTTGAAATGTTGAAATTTAAACATTGGAAGTGTGGCTTTAAATGTCTTTTATTGTCTCAAAACATGTATCCATGTCATATTATGAAATTTTTTTTTTTTTTTTTTTTTTTTTTTAAAATTATTTGAAAAAAATTTTTCTCGCATGTATGTATATATGTGTGGTGGGGTTTGTGTAAAATTATGATAGGTAAAAATTATTATTAAATTATTTATATTTATTTTTAAATTTTTGAAAAAAATGGGGGTTTATTTGTTATATTTAAAGCTGGTTATTTGTTTGTTTTTGGTGACAGTGTATATGTAACAACAGTAAAAAATTGTAATCCTTATTGTTTAATTTATATGGTGATGTTTAATTTAATAACGGGTTTATATGATATGATGTGATAGTAATGTTTCAAAGGATTGGAGACAATGCTATTTAGGTTTTAGCTAATAGTTATTGTAAACTGGAAGAAATTGCAGATTGGTAGAAATGATTAGTAACGGTGGTGGGAGAATGATAAAACCATGAATGTAGTTATAGTGGTGGTAGCTTGAACTAAAAAAAATGTTGGTGTTTTTTTTTTTTTTATTTTGTTATATGTATTAATTTATTTTGGTATAAATCCTGATAATAGGTATTCTATGTAAAATTATGGTAGTTGAAGATTGCTATAATTTTTAATTTAAAAATTATTATTATTATATTAAAGCTGCCTGGTAATAGGTGTTTTGTTCTCATGGTTAATATGGAAATTATATCTGATCATATTGTTTTAAAGTATTAAATATGCTGTGGGGGTAATAAAGATTGTAGTGGATTATATGTTAATCGTGGGTGTGATGATGTAAGTGATGGTGCTGTGTGTAGGTGGTAATGATAATATTGATAGTTAATAGATTTTTAAGGTGGTAAAAGTGATTACTAATGGTGGTGCAATTATAATAATGATAGGTGCAATTATTTTGATGGTATCTTGAAATTAAATTGTGATTGTTGGTGGTTTTTTCTGTTTTATCCGTTTGGTATGAATTCGGATAATAGATACTTGTTCTCATGCCTACATTTGGAGATTATCTCTGATTTTTTGTTAGCAAGTTCTTTTTAAAATTGTGTGATATTATTGCTACTTTTTCGTGTAATGGCAAAGTAGGCATTTTTTCGTAATGTTGTTGTTGTAGGCAGGGGCTTTTTTCAATAATATTTCCCAACTTATTGTTGGTGTGATGTTTTTGTCTTTTTATTGTGCCATATGTATGTAGAAAGTGTTGTGCTGTTCGAATATTTCCTGTTGTTGAATGAAAGGTTGTGATTGTTATTCCTCATCTTGAATGGACCTTCGTGAACAAAAAGATGTAGTTTAAATATGTTGTTTGTAATTTTACCTTGGCCTTGTATATTGTGTTTTTAAATTTGGCAATTTTCCTGGAGTGGACATGTTGCTCTGTTTCTGCAATTGCATATAGGATCCTTGAATTATTTACATTTTTTGTAGGTTGTCATTTTTTTGTTGTGGTTTTTGATTATATCTGTTATGTTTTTTGTACAGCTGTAAAAGTAATCAGTTTGTTGAACTCACGATCGAAAAAATAAAAAAAATATAGGGTCACAAACTCAAATCTATCCAACCAAATATATATATATATATATATGATAAAAATAAAGAACAAATCTGAAATGGTAGTACCTCCACGAAATCGCTAAAAAAAGAGCATAGCTTGATGAAAAAAATACGCCAACCTTGCGAAAACAAAATTTTATCGTCTAAATGCTTATGTTATTATTAAGAGGAAAGACCAAAGTTTTTTTTTAATTATTTTTAAAAAATTTTTTTCTTTTTTAGACATTCTAAATTTTGATTAAAAAAACCTTGTTTCTCTTTGTATCAGCGAACTAGTAAATAACATAGACAATTTTTAGCATGTTTTTTTTTTTATGACACACATTAATTTGGAAAATCTTGCAAAATAAAAAATAATTATCGGATGTTAATGAAACTTTCAGGAATGATTCACAGATGATCAAAATTATTATAAATATTTTTTTTTTTAAAAGTCATGGCAGAAATATTTTTTTTATTTATTTATTACCCCCCATAACTAATTTTATGAAAACGCTAGAAATTCGATCGCATTGGTTTTAGTGATTACAATAGTTAAAAAAGCACAAGGCTTTGAGGAATGCAAATCATGTTTCTTTTTGTTTTTAATTGGACCCCCCTACCTGAAATCACCTCTGAATTGTAACATACAAAACTCCATAAAACAAAGATATTATTTAATTTCAAATGCTTTTATTTGCTTTTCGTTGTTTTTATGAATATCGACAATATTTTCTGAAAGCAAAAAATTTTTTCGATGAAAAACGAATTTTTAATACAATTATTTCTTATTTCTTAATTATAATAGATTTTTACATTTAAGTTGTTAAAATATAAAATTAGTTAAAAGCCGCATCAGGTTTCCTAAGTCTCCTTATGAAATAGATCTTTTTTTAGTGCGTTGTAAATTGTATCATTTTGACTAGTCAGAAAATCCGCAGTAATTAAAAAATGTGATTTTGTGTTTATAATTGGGCTGTAATTATAAAGTATGGAAGACCAACCAAAATACAATTAAGTTGCATTATTTGAGTTAAGCATTGTTCTCTGCTGTTAAGGCCTTTACTTTTGCGAAACATGTGTGGAGAAGTTAATTTGATTTTTCAATTTCAACTGAGAAGGGTACCTACACGTATCAGTATCATCTTATGAAATTTATATGATCTTATTTTTATATTAATCTCAGTTATGACATTTTTCCATAAATGAAATATCAAAATTAATAATAAAATGAATGGAAATACAAATAGCACAGTAAAATGTAATAAATATACTTAAAATTATAGTATTTTATGTACACATCTGATAAAATTTCATAAGAAAGGTACCTATAAATTAATTAGATACCTTTCTCATGAAATGTGAAATTTAATGTCACTCTTAAGTCTTATTTTAATTTTTTTAGAATATATTTTCCATAAATCATCGTGAAAGCTAAGTACAAAAAAAAAAAATTAGAACGCTGAAAGTTTTCCTTAAAAATAACGAGGTAAATGATTTGATCACTTAAATGTAAATTATTTCACTTTTCTCCTTCTGTAGAACAAATCAGCCTCACGAAATCTGTCAATATGTCATTCATCACCTGTTAAGTGACACGAAAGTTTATGACCTGCTTTGTTTTATTTTCAAATTACATCTTTTTGGCAGCAAGAAGCTAAGTTAAGCTTGGTTCAAAATATTTTAAATAAACATTATAATTTCTGATTTTCTTAAAATAAGTTTTGAAAAAATGATAATTGATAAAAAAGAATTTCAAAGTGAGATTTTTTTTTTTTTTTTAAATAAAAAAATGGTCAATTTTGCTGAATCAAAAAAAAAAAACAAGATTTTTAACAAAAATTTCAGACGTGCTAGGAATGATTAAAAAATGGTAAAAAATACCCCAAAAATACTTTGATCTTTCCTTTTTAAAAATAACATAAACATTTAGATGATAAAATTTTGTTTTTGTCAAGTTTGATGTCTTTTTCATCATGCTATACTCTTTTTTTAGTGATCTCGTGGAGGTACCTATATGAAATGTATATCAGTCTAACATGTTTCACTTTTATTAATGCTTTGTCAGAGATTGAGAGAAAAGACACATCAGTTTCTTAATCTCTGATGAAGCTTTAATAAAAGTAAAATATGTTAGATTGATATACGTTTCTTATTTGTTTTTTATTTTATTATTCTGTTGGATTCCGATCCATATTTAATCTGCAACTCGTGTGCGAGAGAGAGAGATTGATCCATGTTAAGCATACCTGACATAAGTGAAGTAGAATTCTTCTGACATTGTTTTGACACATTGAACTTGTTATATTCTCTTTGCAAGGAAGACAAACCTGACATAAGCTCACAGTATCATATAAAATGATCTGCTATTCTAAATGCTTAAGTGAACAAATCCCAAAATTGTTGAAATTTTTTATTTAAATGACAGAAATTTTAAACCTCATAATTCTCATTTCATTACTTATCAGGTTAATTTCATGTTACTTATATCATCACCTTTTTGTCTTCTTGGAAATAATACAACTTTTAAAAAGTTAAATTCTTTTTGATACATTAAAATTCACTTAACATGAGATGGAATGTTTATCTTCCTGATTTTTTTTTTATTCCATATTTATTTCATGTTTTCTCAAGTGAAGATTATAGATTGTATTTGTGTCTATAAATCAAATTAACATTTTTTTTCTCTCCCCAGTGTTATTGGATTGAATTTTGATTTTCTGGCATATAACATAACTGGTTTCATTGCGTATAGTGTCTTCAATGTAGGCATGTACTGGATTTCCAGCATTGAGGTATGTTAATTGAATTATTTAATATTTTTCAGACCAAGTATATATACTCCTTTTTAATTTTTTTTCAGATTAAGATATATATCTTCATTTGAAGAAAATTAAGATTGGTGTTAAACATATTTGTAAACATATTTGTTTCAAGATCATAATTCTGCAAGAAAATTGTTCATTTTACTATTTTTAATTCATTGGAGGAGGTTTTGATATAAAGTATGATGGCATTGGAGGCAAGATGTATAGAAAAGAAAAAAAATATACATAGGAGTAACTGAAGGACCTTGGAAACAAAGAAACTGCATATACAAAACATCCTTTACAAATAGTAAATATGCAAACAGCACAATACTTTCTAAATATATCTAGGAGATTAAAAACAAAAAACAATCACACCAAAAATATGGAAAGTAAGGAAAAGAACATCAGCCTACAACAATCAAACCAAAAACTGCAAACTCTACCTAGAGGAAAAAATAGCTATAATTACCTTTCCAGACTCAAACAATCAGAACTCATCTCAAAATGCAGACATGAAAACAAATTTTTACTACATTATTTAAAAATTGAAAACTGAAAATGAACAAAGATAATTGAAAATAAATGAGTGAAATAAAATAATCCCCCAAAAATAAACAAACTAAGTAAATGATAAACAAACTAACAAACTATGCCCACCAAAAAAATAACTGTTAGAATAATACAATAGACTACCTACAATGCAAAAGAACATCCACAATGCATCACTGACCTGTACATATAAAAAGTCCAGCAAAAGCACAATGCACATGGTTTGACAATTGCATTTAGCATGAAACAAGACTGTCACCTCTGGGTGTTGAGTTCAATGTTCACTTTTATATTTCTATATGCTCTATCCCTGATATTGTGCACACTTTGACCCATAAATATAGCATAACTTAATATATATTGGGGTCATATATATATATATATATATATATATATATATATATATATATTCATTGACTTACAGTGTCTGGTTCTGGCAGACCCATCATAAGACGACTTGGTCATAAGTCACACAATTTTAAATTACTGTGCATATATTATACTGTACCATGATACTATAATAATAATTTTTTATTTAATACTTCTTCTTCCTCACACTCTTTTCATCTACCCTTTTCTGTAGCTCTTTCTTCTCTATTGTGAATTGTTGTTTTCTCCTCTCTCATTGTCTTTATCCATTTAATGTTTATTATTGGGAAGAGATATGACTTTCTTAGCTTTGTCTGAATCATCTGTTTTTGTTTTTTTCTTCATTATAAATTACACGATCTGGACTAATCACATCATATATTATCTGTTCAATGTTTGGGTCCATTGTTTCAAATTTATTGAGTTGCAAGAACCCTTCTGATTACTCTTTACTTCTGAACATCTGCTGTGGCTCCTCCTCTTTCTCTTTCTTGGTCTTTCTCCTTTTGCAACTTTTTCTTCCAATTCTATTAACTCTTTGTTTGTAAGTTCTTTCGATTTCTCATCAAGCAACTCCTTGACATCTTCTATATCACACTTCAATGAAAGGTCTTTTGCCAGTTTCACTATCTTGTCATATATCAATTAGGTTTGTTTTCACTTTCAAACCCAGCAAAAGTATTCATGTAACACTCAACACAATGTTTCCAGACACCATTCATGCATTTTTCAGTCACATTTTCCCACATGATAGAAACATTTTTTATACCCTTAAGAATATTATAGTCCTTCCAAAAGTTATGCTATGATATTTCTGGGTCGGCACTTGTAGCAGTTATTGTTTGGGAGAAGGTGGCACAGATAAGCAGCCTTAAAAGCAGCAATTCAGCCTTGATCCATAGCTTGAATAAGGTGAGTTGTATTTGGGGGCCAAAAAACCACTTTCACATCAGGATGGCTATCATTTAAGTATGTGGGATGTCCTAGTGCATTATCAAGTAACAGTAAAATTTTGAAGGGAATTCCTCTCTCTAGACAACTTGAAGAATAAAACAATTAATGAACCAGTCTTTGAGCAGTCCCAGTTATCCATACTTGATGGTTCGAACGATAGTAGACTGGTAAAGTGTGCTTGCTAACGTTCTTAAATGCTCATGTGTTTTCACTGTTGTAGATAATGAAAGGTTTAAGCTTGAACCCTCTGATGTTCCCACCAAATAGAAGCATTAGTCTGTCCTTGAACGCTTTAAACCTGGGCATGCTTTTTGCTTCTTTGTGGATGTAAGTGCGTGCTGGCATCTGTTTAAAAAATAACCCTCTTTCAGCCACATTAAAAATTTGTTCTGCATGATAACCCATAATTATTTCATCCAAGATTGTTAAACTTAAGAGTTCCTTTCTCATTTGCACTCACTGCTTCTCCAGTCACATGAACATTATGCAATTGGAACTGTAGCTTGAACCACCCAGTACTTGCCACAAACTCTTGCATATATTCATCTTTAGCACATTCCTTTAACATCTTCTTGCCTTTGTCCGGACAGCATAAAGGCTAACTGGTATCCATTTTTGAATTTGGTCTTTGATCCAAACGTGAAGTAATTTCTCCATTTCATGGATATGCCCAGTACATTGCTTCGTAATAACAGTAAAACGCATGGGGGCTGAACATTTCATGGCTTCATGGATCTTTTCTTTATCCTTAACAATCGTTGACACAGTTGAATGGGATAAGTTTATATCGCATGCGATTGCACTAACTTTGTTTCCTCCTTCATACTTTTTAATAACCGTCATTTGGTGTCCAGATCAATTGCCTTTCTTTCCTTCTAGGCAGAGATAATTTCCTCTTGGAAGACATCGTCGGGTGTTTTGAAAGAAATTTTAGAAGACATGGATATAACTTGATTGTATTGTAATGGGTTACTGCTGTATCTGGGTGATTGTACAGATACTTTCATAAATACGCAACACGGTCGATGCACTCACTTTCACTTTTCAGATGTACTAGTTTTGACCACGAGCTGTCAAATCATCATATGTCATAAGTCAATGACTACCTGTGTGTGTGTATATATATATATATATATATATATATATATATATATATATATATATATTCAACATGTGTGTGTGTACACATACAAATTCAATTATAACTACACCCAGGCACATGAAGTGATGAAAAACTTAGTGAACAATTCTTAGTGGTGTTTCTTCATTCTAGAATTATTTAGTATTTTTTAATGTTTTATTTTAGAAGAAATAAGTGGTTTTTACCAAAATAAGTATTTGTATATTTTTTTATATCATTTTTTTTCATATTTAATTTATTTAAGAAAAAATGTTTTAATAAAATCATATTTCAAGAAAAAGAATGAAATTTATATCATATCCCTAGATAATCATGTCTCTCCATGATTCCTTTGCTTTATTTATGAATTGCTATAACTTCTTGGGAAAGATAGTGGAGTGGTTTCTCATTGCTTGGAATTCAGTTTTCTTTCTCTTAGATCAATTGCCACTGAAGGCTAGAGAACTTAGTCTACCTTGTTATTTAACCCATAGCTGGATCAAGGGACAAGAGATTTATTCATATCTTTTCCAAAGGCATTAGTGTGAAAGTGAGCACAACATACTAGCCTGGAATTTCAACTATGCTGACCGATTCCACATTTAACACTGATATCCATTCCACCAACCACACATTCCTTGTCATTAAAAGATAATTTCTGCTTGCTAAAACAGATTTTGAAAACTGCTTCAGAAGAATTAACATTTTGATTATTTTTGTTTTTCCTTGTTACATGATCTTTTTTTTTCTACAAGAATTTCATAAATTTAGTTAAATTAGGACATATTTTGCTTCATAGTAATTTTTAAATTTAACTTGAGATTCATCCTCAAGCAATTTTCAAATTTTGCAAAATTCTTGATTTCTAAAGGTAATCAACATTTAGTAGCTTTTTGAATGAGATTGCTAGGTATCAAAATCTTATACAAATTCAGAAATTTCATACATGTGTGCACACACACACACACACACACACACACACACAGAGATATGGATATATATATATCTCAGGTAAAATGAGAACAAATGGATTATGATTCCACTTTACATAACATTTAATTTAAAGTCTATTTTTTAAAGTATTCTGCTCTTTGAAATTAAATTAATCCTTCACTCACTAGTATTTTAACATTGCCTGAAGAGACACATTTATGATGTCGAAACATAATTGTAATTGTGTAGCGATTTTTTTTTTTTTTTTTTTTTTTTTAATGTTTTAATATCCTAAAATAAATAATATATATTTATTCAAGATGTGAATGCCTTATGATATAGAAAGTCTAAGGCTTTTTATTTTTTATTTTTTAAATCTATTATTTTTTTTTTTTGTTGTAATATATAATTTACATCAAAATAAAAACTGATAGAAATTAAGTTTTTGTTTATAAATTAAAATGTTCTGAAAAAATCATATTGATATTTTATTATTTTTCTTTTCTTCCAGAACGAGTATTTTAAAACTAATCCTCGTGGTGTTAACCCTGTTCAACTAAATGATGTCATCTTTGCTCTTCATGCAACTATTGTTACTGTTTTGATCATTGTTCAGACTTTTATTTATGAAGTAGGTGAATTCGATCATTATTTCTTCACTTGATAGGAATTGGGTAAATTCATATAGTTATGTATATTTTTTTATCTACAGTTTTGAATTTACATTTTAAAGTATATTTTTGTTTTCAATTTTACAAAACTAAAATAACTGAATAAGTGGAATATCAGTTTTCTTTTTACAATATGTGAAATAGAAAAAATATCAATCCCCCAAAACAAAATCTCCACTAAATAAATTTTTATTCAAATTTTCTTTTCTTCAAAATCCCTCAACTACCTTATATTGTTAGATATATATAGTGGATACTCTTATCTGTGTATATTATTTATTAAACAGTATATTTAATTATTTTTGTTTACCAGCCTGAATATTCAAAAAATTTTATTAAAGAAAGATGTATGCTCTCTGGCAGGATTTGAACCTGCATACCCCTGGGCAGAAGGAACCGACATTAGATCCGATGTGCTCTTGACCAACAAGAAGAATTTTCTTAAAGGTGCTATTCAACTTTTCATGATCAGCATGTTGTAGCTCAGTTGGTTGAGATCATGTCGGATCTAACAATGGTTCCTTCTACCCAGGGGGATGCAGGTTTAAATCCTGCAAGAAGTTGCATATTTCTTGAATATTCAGGCTGGTAGACAAAAATAATATATATACACACACATAATAATCTCATATGAAATGGGTTAAATCTGTCAAATATATTAAATATTTGTCAGATTTAATCCATTTCCTATGATATGTTGTAATTTTTTACATTAGGTTACGAATTCAGAGCAGATATGACACATTGAGAAAGATCTGTGAAAGTGTGTTTAAAAGCAGTAGTTCAAGCTTTGCTTAACTGGAAGGTCTCTGTGGCTGAACAGTTATAGCAGACCAGGCCTAATGGTGATATTAAATATTTTCTGTTTAAACATTATTTTTTATGGATACACATATTTGAGCAAATGGTCTGTTCTTTTAATTAAACTGTATTAATTACATTTACCAGCCTGAGTGTTCAAGAAATTTTATAGAAAATATGTGTTCTTTGACAGGAATCAAACCTGTATCCTATACGTAACCACAATTAAGCCTGGCCTGCTATGACTGTTCAGCTACAGAGAACTTCCAGTTAAGCAAAGCTTGAATTACTGCTTTTAAACACACATTTTTGCCAATCTATCGTATCTGCTCTGAATTTGTAACCTAATGTAAAAAATGACAACATATCATAGGAAATGGATTAAATCCAACAAATATTTAATATCTGTTTATATGTTATTTTTTATGGATATACTTATTTGAGTAAATGCTATGTTCTTTTAATTAAACAGTATTAATTACATTTACCAAGCTGAATGTTTGAGAAATTTTGTAGAAAATGTGTTCTCTGACAGGAATTGAACCTGTATCCTATACAGAACCATCATAAAGCTTGAATTACTGCTTATATATATATATATATATATATATATATTTTGAATTCTATAGTGGTTCATTGTTTTTCAAAATAAATATAACTTTAAATGGGAATAAATGATTTACTCTTAAATTTCAGTTATTGTTTAATAATTTCCTAAGAATTCAAATGTTTAAAGGTACATGTTTATAAAACTTTTGGATTTTTTTTCTCTTTTGCAGAAAGGTGCACAGAAAATTTCTAATATCTGCAAGATCATTTTTTCTGGCATGTGGCTGTTTTCTTTCATCACACTTATTCTAGCTTTTGTACATGTGTTGACTTGGTTCCAATTTGTCTTCTACCTTTCCTATGTCAAGCTTTTAGTGACTCTCATTAAATATGTCCCACAGGTAAGAAATATAGTTGGTTTTTAAATTATGACTTATTTATCTTCATAAGAAATTGGTTTATCTGCAGTTATTTCCAGTTCCATCCTGCATACTTTTGAAGAATTTGCCAATAATTGATTCAATCAATGTATCTTTTTCATTTGTTTTGTTTTACGGCATATCAACCTCAATGGGTTACTTAATGATGACAAAATTTTCATTGCTGGTATTTTTTTTTCAAATGTATTTCTGGTAAAATTTTTTTCCTTAAAAAATCTATTTCTGATAATATTGCTTCTTCAAAAATGTATCGCTTGTAATTTTTTTTTTTTACAAAGTATTTCTGGTATTAAAACCTATTTTTACACTTTCATAGTGTTTTGACCCTAGTTTTGTGGGGGGGTTAACTATTTTCCCATAGCTGGGACCCTAACAGGTGCTACCACCCCGGGTCAGGGTGGACCTGGGAACACCAGCAATTAATAGGTTGTTCCACACTGTTCAAAACCTCCTGATCAGAGGCCTTGTTGTTGGATGTAGTTTACAATCAATGTGTAATCTAGGTTTCAGGGAAAAGTTAGTGTAATAAATTAAAACTTTTTTTTTTTTATTATAATCATTTCACCCCAAGCAGGTGATAATGCCACTATAACATAGGGGTTTACAGGAACTGAAAAAGAATCAGAAGAATTTAGTTAGGGGGAAGATTGAGGAAAGGATAATAAAAATAAAAAAAAAAAAAAAAAAATAATAGTTCAAAAAGCCCAAAGATAGCTATTGACATGGCATTTACAGTTTTGAAGATTGTAGTCAGAAGAGTTCCACAGGTGAGAAGTGAGAAAAACTGTTAGAGTAGAAGTGATGGTTGCATCTAGCTAGTTAAACAGTAAAATGGTGAGACCTAGTTGCCAATCTAGTAGCACACTTAAATTCATGTAATCATGGCACCATATAAAAAGCTCATCTGAGCAGTTGCCCTCAAAATATTTGTAGAAAAGACAGAGAAGACAGGTCACATTGGTAAGAAAGTGATTGATGTCAAGATGGATGCCAGGTCAGGATCAATTACATTACAGACCCTACTTTGAATTTTGTCAAGAATCTTTTTATAATGTTTAAAAAAATTGAATATATCAATTATTTATACAATTGAAACCAAAATAAATTCTTGTGATTTTTTTTTTCTTTTAATAATTGCAACAAATATATTTGAAACTTTTTATGTTGTTTTACTGTAAGTAAATATTTATTTGTTTAGTTTTGTATTAAAAAAATGTTTTCTTTTTTTTCTCTCTTCTTCTAAAAACTACTTTTAATATCGCTTTAACTGAAATATAATTTAAAATATTAGGTTGGTGCAAAAATAATGTCGTTTTTTGATGTTCAACTTAACGTCAAAAACATTATTTTTGCACCAACCTAATATTAAATAATTGTAAACAAAAACTCATCATTTTATTTTTCTGTAATCTATTTATTTCATACTTAACACTTTGACTGCTGCATTATTATAGCATTGTTGCCTGACTGTGTTGGCTCATTTTGGGGAAAAATAGAAAAAAAAATGACTATAAAGATGCTGATGGCAGTTTCTTATAGGCACTTCCATTTTGTTTATGATCAGATACTCTGCAGTACAATCTAAGCTAAATGATACCCTAACACAGAAGATAATAAAAATACATCACAAAATACACTGTATTGTATGCTACAAAATTCTATGTTGGTTTGAAAATAGCAGAAAATGCTAGTTAGTTTATAACATAAATACTATACATTGACATTTCTTGATATCTTGAAACTGAAAACATAACAGCAGGCAATAAAAGTTTTGAAACAATGTAAAAGTCATCCACAGCAACAGAAATGTTAATAGGCTTATAATTTTTCTGAAACATTTTATTTACAATTTAGATTTATAACTCTATAAATTTTAAATTTACTTTGTTTCTAGTTTCTGATACTTAAACACTTTCAATTTACCAGGTAGAATCACTTAATTTTGTGATTGGTTAGCTGAGAAGATCTGTTGCTGTAATGAAAATAATTTGCAATAGATTATTACTATAATAAAATATTTAAAAATTTTGTATATTCAAAGAGGGTGTTGGTACACTTGAAATCTACACAATCCTCAGCTAAAAAAAACGAAACAAAAAGGAAACAAATTGGTAATTTGTTTATCACGTCAGGTAAATGATAACATAGCAGATTGATTAGATGCTTTAATTGGATTGGTTCAAATTCCATTATTGGCTGCTTTACTAATTGTCTGTTTCTAAATGTACAATAATGGGTAACTTAGAAATAATTTATTCTTTGTCATACATATATCAATTGAGAAGAATTTTATAAAAAATCTATAACTGAATAATAAAACAATACTTGCTCTTTTGGAGTTCTGTAACACAGCCATTGATGAGGGAAGATAATTAAATTGTACTTAGCATGTGCAGAAAAAGGAGCTAAAACTGACCTCCTCTAGAATGAGGTCAGCAATGAAACAATAATATAAAATTTTGAAAAAAAAACAAGATTTACACCAAGAAATAAAGGAACCAATAAATGATGTGTAGATTTTAATACAACATGGAAACTAGTGTTCAGAAAAATTGCATTTAGCAGTTAAGAAATCTCATGTATATACCAAAACCATTTACAGATCTTCCACTCTAGCCCTTGGAAACCATTGTTGTCTTCTCTCATGAGATTTTAATATTCAGTTCCATGATTCTGTTGGACTAAGATGCACTAGTTGAGAAGATGAAAAAGTTCTAAGCAAATTCTAAAGGCCAAATACATCTGAGGTAGACTGAAGAATATATTGGCTGAAATGTGAATAATAAAGGCTATGTATGTTTGGTCATTTTAAAAATGTTTTCCTATTTACATTTCTCAAACATCATGCCAGAAAGATTCGGTAGGCATGGTGAACATTTTGGAGAATTTTTGTGTTGGACATGATACATCTGGTGTTTCAATGTTGGCAACAGTTATCCAATGAACATTCTTACATCCATAGACCAGGTTCTGGATGTTTGCATAATACAGACATTTGCCAAGAGAGATGCATTTACAATACATCTCTCTTGGCAGCAGTGGTACACTGCATGGCATCATTGTGCACATATCTTGTGATATTGTGAGAGGGTTGGGGAAGCCAATAGCATTCTGTAGTGTTCAGTGTTGAGAGGAGGTTCTGCCTTCATGCATGAATGTGTAATGTAAACCTGGGGAGCAACATCTTCTAGAGTGTATTTGGTCACAAAACACAAGCCCAACTCTTGGCATCATTTTGTTAGATGCCATATTACAACTACATGTTACTTGTTTTTACTGTTTGTTGATGGGAATGCTGAACAGATATATATATAATCCTTTCACCCCAAGCAAGGCTAAAAGCTGCTAAGATGCAGGGGGGTTACTTAAAGTGAAAATATAAAACAAAGAAAAACATTAAGGATCAAGAACATTAACAGAACAGGAATTAAGACAGACTATAATAATTTATGTTGCATTTAAATTTTTGAAGATCAAGCTTGACTGACAAGCAAGAAGATAGAAAAGAGTCCCACAAACAAGAAGTCTGAGAAAAGAAACTTTTAGCATAAAAATTATGCTTATATCTAGCATTTTCAGCTGTAAAATAATGAAACTTTGCACTTAAATTCATAAAGTCTTAGATACCATAGAGAAAAGTTCATCAGAACAATTACTATGAAAGCATTTATAGAAAAGACACAGAGAAGCTACATTTTGGTTGTGGGAAAGTAACTGATGCCAGGTCAGGGCCAATGACATTACATCCCAAACATTGTTCAGCTTTGCTGTATTGTGTCAATGAGTGCAAGCAGCATGGAATAATGTATTGTAGGATGATATTTGCCATCTACATAATATGCATGCAAGAGTACAGTCCTGTGTTAATGCCCAAAGAGGATATACAGTATATTTATATAGTGTCTGATTACAGTTGATACATCTTTTTATATTAGAACCAGTGCACATATTGATCTTTATATATAATCATTTACTGTAATTCATATATATTACTTTTTAAATTTAATCTTGAGTAAATTGTAATGTATTCAAGTTGTGACAACTTTATTTTCCATCAGTATATTTGAATATTACTAAAAGTTGATATTTTAAATTTAACTGAATTGCTCTTTCAATAGCTTATGTTAGTTATTTTTTTTTTTTTTTTATAAACTATTATTTAAATATGAGCTATATGAAAAATTAACCTTTTTCTAAATAACTTTTAGTAGTTAGAGAAAAATTATCTTTATACTAAATATTTAGTGTTTGTATTTTTAATGATCTTTTGAATGTATTTCATGAATGTTATTTTAATTTTTCCTTAACTGATTTTGTCTCTTAGGTGCACATGAATTGCAAACGCAAAAGTACAGTGGGATGGAGTATATGGAATGTTCTTCTAGATTTCCTTGGTGGGGCTCTCAGTATATTACAGATGTTTTTACTTGCTTATAACAATGGTCAGTATACGAAAAACATTTTCTGTAAATGAACAGATAATAAAAAAAATAAAATAAAAGCACAAAAACTTTTTTGATAATTACCTTAAAGATTTTTTATTTTATTTCAATCCATTTTAGATTTTCATATATATTACTTAAATTTTCACACTTTTAAATCTTTTACTGCTGAAGGTCAGATTTAACCTTTCATTATGGTAAATTTTGTTTTAAAGAACAGTAACTGTATGCCATGTGTTAGACAAGAGGAATGACATGATTTTAAATCTTTTACTCAGTTAGAACATCTAATCAAAATATAAATATCTGTGAGAAAAATAATTTTTTTGTTGGTAATTTTAGAATTTGTGCTGAAAACAAATGGAGTAGTGATTTTTGTAACTGAAGCTTTACTTTAACACTTGCTAAATTAATCAATGGATTAAGTTGAACTTTTTCAATGCCCAATCTAGTTTTGTGTTCTAGGCATGAATAAATTGAATGGTACTTACTTGGATAAGAGCACTGCATGATGTCTAAATAACTATGGTAAAAAAGTTGATAGAGATTGTTGCCTATACAATGCAGTTTTCTTTAATTGCAAATTTAATCTGAACATTCATATGCATGATAAATCATAAATACTCCTCCACTGTATTGGCCATGTTTTGAAATTGCATTCTGATTTTATATAACTGTAGTGGGTTGGTATTTTGTTTTTGTCTGGTATCAAAAGTTGGTAATGTTGTTGGACCACAATAAATAACACAAAAACTTGGTTGGAAAATTAAGGGTCAATTTTTATTGATGCATGCATGTGTACTAAACTCTGAGATAAGAGAGTGATTGACCTCAAGTTAACATGACGTTAAGAGAGGGTGACTGAATCTCCTTTCCTTAGGACCACTGTAAAACACATCCAAATCCAATGTTTCGAAAGTATCCAGACACTAGATTTTCTCCTTTCCAGAAGTGGGGTCACAAACTTTGCATGTGACCGGAAATTTTGGTTTCATTATGGGGGAAAATGAAATCATTTTTTTTAATTATTATGTTTGTTTATTTTATTTATTATTTAATTTTCATTCTCCCACAATACATCCCCACCCAGAAGTGGAGCTGTACAAATATATAATAAAAAATATATAAATTCATTTTTTCTAGAAAATGTTACACGACTTCCTGAGTGTGTGGTTTTAGATTTTGTTTGAGATTGTCCTAACTTTGGAGGTCTTCATCTGGGGTGTATTTCTCAGTTGATAGTTCATCTGTGAGTGTGTAATTATCAGTTGTTGGCATACCCTTTGATTTGGGATCAGTCAGAGGTAATTTTGAATGTGTTACAGGCTTCGCTCTGTCCAACGACACATTTTGATGATTTCCTTTCCCGAGTGGGGACACAAACTTTGCACGTGACTGGAAACCTTTTTTTAGGTTTCCACTTGCATTATGGGAAAATGAAATTATTTATTTTTTAATTATTTTTATTGTTTATTTTATTTATTATTTTCATTCTTCCACATAACTAATATTTTCTTTTCCTTCTTTTTCAGATGATTGGGATTCAATCTTTGGGGACCCAACTAAATTTGGTTTAGGTGTTTTCTCAATTATGTTTGATCTCATATTTATGTTGCAACATTATGTGCTCTATCGTGAGGCAAGTTATGTTCAATTACCTGAAACTGAAGAAAATTTTCAGTCATGAAGAGTTTGTAAAATAAATCAACCTTGTTTTTAAATTGAAAATTGGGATAGCTTAAAATGATTTTTTTTTTTCCTAAAAAGTTTTCATATAGTTATTTTTTATATTTATTTATTTTATTAAAAGGAGTTTTAATAACAAAAAGGAAATTTAAAAATGGATTCTGAAAATTTTTGGTGCTCTACTTAAATGGATATTTTATAATGTGAAAAACTGTTTACTACTTGGAAACCAGAAGTTGTTTGTTGGCATAAAGAAATAAACAAAAATTTCCTTTTCTACCTCAAAATGCATGAAATATGGGGTCTTGGTAAAAAGACTGTAAGCTATGGCTAAGTTTCTATGAATATATTTTTTATTAAAAAATAATTTTGTACACTTGGAATTTTGATATTGAAAGAGAACATCGAATGATTGTTTTTTTTTCTTAAAATGGAAATTTATGCAAGATATCTTTATTTACTTGCTAATTTTGCAACAAAAAAATGTTAAAATTTTTTAAATTATTTTTTAAATCTATTTTCAAGATTCATGTAAATAGTTGTGGCATGTTTCTCAATGACATTTTCTTGAAAATGTGTGTGTGGGGGGGGAATAATTCAAAACTACTAATAAATTCAGAATTAACTTTTTCTTTGCAACTATTGTATTTTAAATGATACTGTCAGTATTTTAGTTTTTTTTTTTTTGCTTACAAAATCACAATTATTACATTCCTATAGCTTTTATAATCAAATACTCTTTGGGGGGGGGGAAAAAAGCCAAGAATTTACCTTAGTGAAAAATTCTTTGCCAAATTTTATTTCTTTTTTTTAAATTCATATGTAAAACCAACAAAAAGCAAAATGTTTTGGTGACTTTTTGTAAATCTTTACACAATGTTTTATTTGATTTTAAATTTCCCCAGAATCTGATTTATCTTTATTCAATAACAAAAACAGATTTGATTGATTACCACTACTTTCTAATTTGCTAAATTAAAAAAAAAAAAAAAAAATTATTTTTAAAGGAATTAGCATTATTATATGCCTTGCTACTCAGATCAGCATTCTTGTCTTGGTTTTTATACATTTTTTTAATATTTTAACCATTGTATCTTCTGGCCCTTTTTCAGATGTCTGTTGTTGTACTTTGTAATTTTGAACTGAACCCTTTATTCAATCCACAGTTCTATATTGATTGTTCTCTTCCCATTTTCCTTGCTTAGGGGAGATAACTCATATCAGTTAATACTTACCAGTCTTAGACTCCTTGTTGCTTTACCATTCCTGCCACTGAATCCATGTGCGTTGTTTCAGCACTACCCAACCCAGGGATTGCACTCATAACTGCCAAAGAACCATATATTTAACCGATGCTTTAATTCTCTCTGTGTCTCTTGTACAATTCAGTGGTGTAGTTTTAGAGCCTTAAACCTAAGTCTGTACTTAGGTGGTGGGTACCACAGGATTATACAAGAGCCACATTGTGTATTAAAGTGTTGGTTAAAACATATCTGGTTCTGTGGTAGCTGGGAGTGGATCTGGAGTATTGAAAAGTCATTCTTGTTCAGTGGAAGAAATTGACTAGGTGAATAAAACTGGTGAGTATTAAGTTATCCAAAATATCCCTCAAAACATAAAGAACTGAAGTAGATCAATGTAGATTGAATAAAAACCTTGGTTTAAAATTCTGAGATTACCAAATACAATGACAAACAACTGAAGAATGCCAGGGTATGATGGGTGAAATGTGAATATAACAACCAAAATAAGCATGCTGGTCTGAATAACAAGGCATATAATCAACACTTTATAATTTTGTTTTAGGTTTTTAGATTCTTTGAAATATTAACTCTTAAAAAATATATATTTTCATTAATAATTTTTTTTGATTTTTAAAAGAGGAAGATGAAATCTGATCTTATTAAATCATTAAGCAAAAAACGTTTGTCAGTTTTAATTTGCAATGAACTGAGGATATTCTTAGAATAATCATAAATTAAAAAAAATAATAGTACAAATATGTATAGTATGTGTAAGTAACCATTTTAATTTTTTTTTTTTTTTTTTTAAAACAGTATATTGGTGTATTTAAAAACTTTATATTTTGTATTTTGTTGAATTATGTTAAGATTTCTAATGAGGCTTTTCTAATGTTAGGAAGTCAATTTTGAAAGCATAACCTCAAATTTAAATGAGATTTTTCTACAACTAGCATTTTTCTCAAAGCAAGTCATATGGATAGAGATTACTGAATCTGATCTGTATAAATAAGTTTTTATAGTATTATTTTTGGTACCATATTTAGTATTAAAAAAATAAATTTTGAAAATTTACCTTCCATCTTCAGCACAGGAATTCTGGAGTCTTCATGGTTGAGATGCAAGTATAATAGAGATGGTATTTTTTTTTTTTTTTTTTTTGTAGGAAATTTTAGTTATTTGACAGATGAGGGAATATTTAAAAAAAAAAAATCAAAATTAAAGCATGCTTCCTTTTTAATAGTAGAAAATAAAATATATTACATTTGAATGGTAACTTCATGATTGACAACTATAACAACAAGATATGTAAGAAAGCTTGCAGAAATAACAATTTTTCTTTTTTGAGATTTACTAAAATCATTCTGTTTGTTTATCAATGCTTTTTTATGCATTGATCAAATGAAAAGCGGTTCAGTGCATGCTGGAAAATTTCTCATTATTTTCTAATTTCATAAAAATATAATTTTTTTTTTTTTAAATTCGCAACTGATTTCCAATTCAAAAATAATTATATATGCACTTATTTTAAGGTCATTTAAAAATGACAATAAATGTCCTAAGTAGATACTGAATAAACAAACAAATATATCCTTTTACTTAACACTCTACATAAAGGAATTAAATTGAAAGAATGTTTTGTTCATTAATTTACATAAAAGCAAAATGAGTTTCATTATTGTAAATTTAATTTGATTCCTCTAGGTTACTCATTTCTTTCATTTGATTCTTTCATGCAGCGATGGAATTATGATTGGCACAATGATTTACATTCCTTGAACATCAACTCAAAATGAATGCAGATTATTATGAAGATTGAATTCAATTTACCATATTTGCTATTAGACAAGTCAATCCTTAGGTATTAATGTTTCAGCTTGTGTTTACTAAATAATTTAACCATTTAAAACAAAATCTTGTCTTTATCTTAATTCTAATCCTATGCTTAATGTACAGAGTAAATTTTGTTTTCTCTTATAACAAGTTACAATCTGCTTCTATATTTTAGACTTCTAAGGAGTGAAATGTTGATTAATTCTTGGATAAGTTTTTAAACCTTATTTCTGAGAAGTGCCTTAAATTGATTAGTAATCACTTAAAAACATTAAGAAATGGTTTAAAAACATTCTTGAACATTTTATTTTTCTGATTTAAGCTTGTATTGTTTAGTAAGATTTCCAATTTAAATTTAGAATTTTTATTTTATACTTGAAAAAGTAAACTTGTGAATCGTTTTATTTTTACTGTATTCACATGTATTTTATTGTATCTTCTCCAAGAATTCAAATGATTTTTTTTATGATTAAGTGAATGATAAAAATGACTGAGAAATTAGACTGACAAGAAGTGTACATTAAGATAAAAATCACACTGCCTTAAAATGATAATATGAGGAAGTGGTGAAGAGTTTTTCACATGAACAACTCTTTAACCAAATAGAATTTTTTTTCTCTCATGTACAAGAACTTTTCAGTATTTCCCTCATTTGTAATATATATATATATATATATATATATATATATATATATATGTATATAATGGGAATTTGTGACTAATGAAATAAAAATATCTTTTAGTGATGAAAGTAAAGTTTGTGCTGTACTCTGCACGTCATTTATCCCAAACAATTCTTATTTCATATTGCACTTTGGAAATTACCAAATACAATAAACAGTTTAAGTTACAACTAACAAATTTTACATTGTTTCAAAGTGGTGCAAAATTAAAAAAAAAAAAAAAAAAAAAAAACTTTTTAAAGAATTATAAAAAATTGTTGGCTTATTTTATTTTTTTTTTTTTTAAATGGTAGCGAACTAAAAAGTATTGGTTGTACTGAATTTACATCCTTGTAATTTAAGCATAAAATAGTAATCTTACCTAACAAAGAAATGTTTTTGTTCCAGTGTTGTTTTTGCATGTTTGTTTTTTTTTGCTGGTGAATTACTCATCTTAGACATAGAATGTTTGTCTGTCACACTCACAATAAGCATGAATAACTTCAAATACAGCAACCAAATTTAAAAAAAAATACTACATCCTTTACTTTAAATTTGTAATGTAATTTTGAATGAAAATTTTACTTTATTAAAAAAATCATCTTAGAATTTCAATGAACATAACAGATAGTAAAGATTGTTAACTACTTCTGATTATGTAGTTAATGACTACATATTAAATGAAAGATTAGGGACTCCTACCCAGTGTGTATTTTGTTTGTCTGAATAAAATGCATAATTGTGTTGATAAATATATGTGAAAGGAATGTTGAGGTAAATGTTTCATTTGTAGAAGTCGAGACTAATCTTTTATGAGCAATTTGTAGTCCTATCCCCTTTAATTTTTGTCTGGTTAAAAGATGCTGAAAAGTTCTCTGCCCAAAACTTGACCAAACATTTTTTATACAGGGAATCTCTTGATCAGGCTAAGAACTTTTCAGTAGCCCTTTGTAAAATGATCATTGTGTTTTTTTTATGGAATTTTCATAAAGAGTTATTTGTTTTGGCCTTTTTTCCAAATTGTGAATACATATAAATATGCAATGTTTATCCATATTGTGTGGGTGAAAGAGATGGGGAGAGTGACGCTATTCTATATCACCAAAAAATTACATTTGAAGATGGGTGGATTGCCCATCTCTGTACTGTACTCTTTTGCTGATATAGAAGAAATAATTTTTTTGTTAAATTTAATAAAAAAAATCCATCATTATTCCATTGCAAATACAATATTAGTCCAATAATCCAGTTTATTATTCTGGAAA